GAGCCCTTCTTGAGCATTGAGCCCTCACACTCTCTTCTCAAATGAAAACTAGTTTCACACTGTAGAGGACTTAGTCTCTCACTGTACCCTAGGGAGAAATGGCAGTGGGTATGAGGAAAATAAAAACAAGGCACAAGAGCTGAGGTCAGGTGGAGTTGCCTCTTACCTGAAGGGGAAGTGGACTGAATAACAATAGTAGGGGCATTTATTTATACCCTTGCAAAGTTAGTATCATGAGAGGCAATGTTGCCTAGCAACTAAGGACTGAAATTGTCCAGGCAGAATGTTTTTTTTCAAGACTGAGGTGGCTTGACTGAGGCACTCTGGCTCTGTCCTGCCCCCACAGATATGGCCAATTTCCTGCTCCAGCTGCTCCCAACATCACACCCTTAAGCCTGGGAAGAGCAACAATAAAAACAGAATTACCATGTGCTCTGGCAATTCCACTCTAAAGTATATACCCATAGGAAATTATAATATGCTGTATATCTCAAAAGGTAAAAGAAAGGATTTTGAACATTTTCCCTATAAACAAATGATGAATGTTTGAGGAGATGATTTGTTTAAATTGACTTAATTATTAAGCAATGTATGTATGTATCAAACATCACTTTGATTCCTCTTAAAATATGTATTTTTATGTTTTTGTGTAAACACAGAAAGGCAGAAAATATTAAACAAATACTACTTTTTAATGAAAGGGAGTATCTTACAAAACTATGTCTAAAAGACTCAAATTATGCAACTTCCGGCAGAGACATCTCCAACAGCCCTCTTTTCTTGTCTCTGAGCTGGCTAGAAGGCAATGGGATGATGATGATGATGTGTATCTTCCAGGTTGGGCCATAGTAGCCTTGTACACTCCACAGGGGTTACTTGAATCCTCACTTTTAGAAAATCCAACTACCATGTGGTAATTGTGACTATCCAGAGACCATTGTGCTGTGCAGAAACCCCAATCATGCTAGAGACCTATGTGAGGAGAGGCCTATCTGGTCTGCATCTACTCCGGCCATTTAGGTGAGGCCCTAGACATGTTCATGAAGACGTCATCTTGGAAATCCATTCTAGTTAGACCTTCAGGTGTCCTCAGCTCCAGTGACTAAATGATTACACCCACAGGAGAGGCCCCAGGTGAAACCTGCCTAGCTGGACCCCTTAACCCCACAGAATCAGAGCAGATGAGAATAAATTGCTTTGTCAAATCACTAAGTTTGAGGATCATTTGCAACACAGAACTGAGTGAATGAGATATACTTGTCATATCTTAAGCTTTCTAGATGAGATCAAAAATGCATGCTATAGACTGCACATACCTCTATATTCAGCCCACTGAAATGAGTACACTCATAAACGCCACTCAGATCACACTGTAGAATATCTGCAGGGTCTTAAAAGTTTTTTCTTCCCCTTTGCCAGGTAAACAAATGACGTTCCCTACAGTATCTGCTCTCCTGACATCAAACATTTGTGTTTAGCTCCTTTTAGTCAGCATTATGCTTGGAATATTTATACAATGGTTACCACTCATATTTGACCCCCTCTATTACGTTTTGTCACACAGCGCCCATAATCTGTTATTTGCACTCTTGATGGACAGTTGGGTACTCTTCAATTTAGGGCCATTATGAATAAAGCTACTGTAACTACCTTTTTTCTCACTTGTTTTATATCCTTTTCTTCATCTTAAGAATTGTGGAGTATATCTTGAATTTTTACGCAGTTAACGAATTGGCTTTCTGACTTCAATTTATGGCTATGTACCACAGGCTTTTAAATGGAACAGTTAGGCTTACAATGTTGTCTTGTGAATTTTCTGGCCTATAGGAAAATACTTGCAACTGTAATTTATAAAGAAAAGAGATTTAGTCGGGCTGATGTTTCCAGAAGCTGAAAAGTCCAAGTCAGGCAGCTGCATGAGGTAAGGGCCTCGTGTTCCGGCAACTAATGGCCGAAAGAGGAAAAAAAGTAGGCATGTATGAAAGAGGGACAAAGGGGCATGGACACTTTATAACATCCAACTCTCTTTATAACTCACTGTGTGGAAATTGCACTAATTCTTTCCTGAGGACACAGCTCTGTGACCCAAACACCTCTTAAAGGATTCATTGCTTCTTAAAAGTAGTACATTGCTAATTGAGCTCTACCCTGGGTTTCTTTCTGGGTCATATTCAGCCCACACATGACATGTGCTCAAGAAATGTTACATTTCTAGATTATAATTTTGTGCAAATTGTCTTCCATAGTTAAAATATATAATTGTCTTTTGAAACTTGCTAAAGGAACACAGCGATATTTACAATTTTTACTTTCTCGTCTTTTTTTGTGGATATTTTTCTTACAGCTTGGTGGTGATTGTGGAGGTTATGATGAAACATCTAAGGAGTTCTTTTACTTTTTAGCATTACTCTGAAAAAGCATATGGTTCAAGACTTTCATTGTAGAATTTCTGGTCTATTTAAATCCCTCTGATTTCCTCAATGGATTCTTCAAGTAGAAAGCCAGAGTGTGTGTCCCTTGTACACATGCCCAAGAGAACAAGATTGCCCATCTTTTGCTGCCCTCGTTTTAATTTTCTATTTCATTGAATAGATGGTCTCACCCCCCTCCCATGCCTTTTGACATGGCTTATACACAGCGAGTTGGTGGCTCTCTAGGGCTGTCTTGCCCACTGTCACAGAACTCCATGGTGACCTCATCTGGCACAGGGAATGACGTATATGGAGGCATCTGTGGACATGATCTAGACATTCACAGCGAAGCATATCAGAACCATTCCATTTCCAATAGTTTCCTTACTATTCTCAGAGAACAAGGGTTTCATGACACTGGACTTCTCATTTGTCTATGTTTCAGAGTGCTTTAGTTCTGATTCAGAGGTAATTGTCTCCTGTCTATCTCTATGGGATTTTGGTTTCCGTGTGACTCTGTATGAGTCAAGCTTCCAAAGGACACATGAGAGAAGAAATCCAACGCTAAGAGCAGCATCTAGGAAGGAATTAAAAGAGGATACATGGAGGTTAGCTTTGCGTACTCTGCACAGAGACTCCAGAAATCCTTTGTCCCAAGAGAAAAAGGATCACAGAACAGAACAGACTAGAGTTCTTTGATACTTTTGAGAATATTTCAAAACATGTTCCAACTCCTACTTTTAGTGTATGCAGTGAATGAATACTGTCATACATTTCTAGAAATGAAATTATATAATCAAATAAATACACAAAAACAAACACAGTATCATAGGTTAGTGCCACAAAACTTCTAATTCTATGGTTATATGGTGGAGAATAGAGAAAGAAAACATGCAGAAAATACCAAGTTCATCTGGACAGGTTTATTCACCACCTGCCTGCTTATCACTGACATCTCTCTTTTAAGGATCAGGCACAGATTTATTATAACCACCTGTTATTTCTATGCAGATATCTAATGAATGCCTGCTAGAAACAGGAATACAATTTTGCTTCTTTGGGTTGGGGATTTAGCTCAGTGGCACAGCACCTGCCCGGCAAGTGCAAGGTCATGAGTTTGATTCCTGGTACTGGAAAACAAACAAACAAACAAAAATTTTGCTTCTTAACTTCACTTTCATTAATTCTTCTGAGTTTTCTCTTTTTGCTACATTGGGAGAAGATTCACCACTGCTCCTGCTGATAATATCTCCCTCATCTTTCCTTTCCTAGCCCCAAAGCACCCTTTGGGAGTTTAGCATAAAGTAAAATCCTATTCATGATTCCAATCTTACTCAGAATTTGCCTTCCCTTTGAAATCCTTGCTGGTGACACCAGGCAGAACTGGCCATGTTATTTCCTGTGCTCTACTATAAGCTGGGGTTAAAGCACACACATAACACTGTAACTCCAATATTCACTTTTACACCTCTCTCCTCTCTCTCCCCAGTAGGCATTTATTTTTCTGAAGGAGGGGATGATTTTCCTTCCGTTATTGCCATCTACAGTTCAGTAAAGTATAAAAAAGCTTGGGCTGTAAGACTGACTGCTCTCAGTACTCAGTCATAAAGAAGGAGGAGTTTGAGACAGTTCTAGGTAAGTGGATGCACTTGAAACCATGCTGAAATAAATGGGACACACGTGCACGTGTAAATATCGCATTGTTTCTCTAGTGTGAGAAACCGAATGTGTCAATAAGGACTGGAATGTGTAATAGATATCATGAAATGTGAGGAAAATGTTCAAATGGGAAGGGGAACGGGGGAGGGGAAAAGGAAGGAAGGAAAAAGAATGAGAAAAGAAGGAAAAATGGAAACAAAGCTTTTGTAAATGTAAAGGGGAGGAGGGGTTGAAGGTAGGGACAGGAAATGGGAAGAAAAGAAGAATCGAGACATATCATGTACAGGTACAAATTCCCTATGATGAATGTGACCACTATGTGCCTTTAAAATGTACCAAGCTGAAAGAGTAAGACCCAAAGTGTACAACAGATACTGTAAAATAGGAAGAAACTGTTCAAAATGAAAGAGAAACTGGGATGGCAGGAAGGAGAAAGGAAGGAAGGAAACAGGAAAAGAAAAAATATGTATGATATTTAAGATAGTTTACACTACTAGTTTCTCTTAGATCACTGAAAAGTTTGTGCTAATATTGTTCGGACAGTGTTTCATGCCTCTATCTTGTAGTGTGAGTAATTACTTTGAAGATAACAATACGCAATGTATTAACTATGGTCACTCTCCTGTTATCTTGTTTTGAAAATTTGTCTTATTTTTTTCTCTTTAAAATAAAAACAATATGTACCATGAAATTAATTTTAAAAATTAATCACTCTCTCCTCTACCACTCTGTGTGTGTGTAGCTCAGTAAGTGAGTATAGTTTTGTGTCAGCACGAAGTGTCCTGAATGCAGCAGCTGCCTTCTTTGGAGGCCCTGCAGAGGCGGAAGGCAGGGCAGCGCAGGGAGGAAGCCAGAAGGGCCACGTGGTCGGGGAAGCAGGGCTAGGGACACATTTTGCACAGACAGGAGGTGCCTGCGTTCCACTGTGCCAAGCTGCTGGCACAGAAATAGACAGCAGTCTGGTTCTTTTGTGTCGATTTCATGGTGAGAGGAAAGAATTCCTTTTTCTTCCTAGATACAGTATAGCCCTCAGTTATGTCTCCGTCCTGGACATCATCAGTCATTAGTGAGAAGTAGATCAGTCTAAGCCCTTGCCCCGGGTCCTGGCGGTACCAGTACATGTTGTCGTGATTCAAATTCTGCTCACATTCCAAGGTCACATCCTGTCCTTTCTCTACGAACCGGAATTTTGGGGTCTGAGTGACGCCACTGTCCACGGTTCCTGGGGAAGAAAGAAAAAGAACTTGAAAAAAGCCCTGGAGGGCAGCTGATTCTGCTGTCGCTGGGGAAGAGCTTAGAGGTGGGGGTTGGGATAGGAATTTGCCTCCCGAGCCCAGGACTCACCTGCTCCAAGTAGACAAAGGGTCACCCAACAAAGCACCTGGTTGCTCATAGTGGGAAGGGGGCCCTTTGGCTCCAAGCTCTTGTTGGAAGAGAAAGGCTGGCAGAAGCTTAGCTCAGGGGCTCCCCCTGGCTTACTCTATGGATCTGGTCAGGAGGCAGATACTAAGGAGGGCTTCCCAACTTTTCAGGTGGGGAAGCAGGCCAGGGAGCAGGAACCCCTCCTCCTCCCCCAACATCCTGCACCTTCCAGTTGTTCTGGGCGCTCTGGATGGAGGGCTGGGCTCACTCCCATTGCCGCCTTGATGGTCACCCTTCTGCTTGCTGTAGTGGTTTGACCACTCTAGCAGCACTAACACAGGTTTCATTTTCAGGGTTGTCCCTGCTCTCTGGGGAAGAGCGACTCCTGGTCTGGGATGGTGGCATGGGAACCGAGGCCCAGAGGAGTTGAGAGCTGACTTCTAGCAGCATGTCCTTCGTGCCAAGGCCTCGGGCTGCCTTCTATGCCAGTTCTTCCCTGACTGCTCTTCCTGGTTTCTGTCCTTTCCATTCTCTCGTTTCCTCGTCTTTCTTCAAAGCCTTTTACTAAATTTTTGAGTGTGTTGTCTTCTACATCTTTCAACTTATTCTTTTTTCCTAGAATAATTTTACCACCTTCCACCATCTCTTTCTTGAGTACAACTTCTTCCAGTTCTTTCAGTCTGCACAGTTTCTGTTCTTAGCTTTTCAACTTCTGGCAATAGAAGGCTTACTTGCCTGTGTCTGGCTCTGTCTAAAGTGTGGATTTACATTTTCTCCTAGTTTGTGTTTGCTTTCTTTGGAGATGTGAAATTTTGCGCCACTCCGCAGATTTCTCTCTGTCTCTCTCTGTCTTTCTCTGTGTGTGTATGTTATTGAAACATTTATTTTCATGACAGCCTTATTTACCACCACTCTAGCAAGGACTCCCCCTGCCTTAGTAAGTCTTATTTGTGTTTTCATGGTGGGAGTGACTTGAGTCCTTTTAAATTGTGATCCTCTTATGCTTTGCAAGATTCAGAATTCCTCCCTTTTTTCTTTTTCTTTTCTTTATCCAGTTGCCAGAGGATCCTCTTTCTTCCTCTTTGCCTGTTTTATTTTTCTCCTTTCCCTGAGAAGCCATAGCTTTGAATTTTGGACCCTTTAAAGCACACGCCTGGTGCTTTAGGTGGCTTACCCTTTGAAATCCAATTCTCTGCCATTCTGTTCAGGTGGGACAAAGGGTTTAGTTTTTGTGTGGTACAGTATTCCTCCAGCCTCAGGTCCCTGACACACATCCTTCTTCTGTCTTCCTGGTTCATTTGTTTCCCCTCCTAGGTGGGTGAGGCAGAAGCAGAAACACCTGAAATAATTTCAGAAAACCAAAAGTGAACTGGAAGGCATCACCATAGAGTCTACTCCATGCTGGGGAGTGGCACTGAAGGACCGAACCCATCAGATTATTTGAAGGACGTGAATGACTTTGTCCTGTTTGTCTTTAATATTCAAAAACTACTTCATCCAAAGCAAATGGTGATATAAACCCTTTATCAGTAGGTGTAGCATATTTGTATGGCAAGAATATAAATTATACCCACTGACACCAGGCATGGTGGCACATCCCTATAATCCCAGCACTTGGGAGATTGAAGCAGGAGGATCACCTGCTGGAGCAGGGTAGCCTAGACCACATACTGAGTTTCAAGGCCAGTGTGAAGTGTGCAAAGAGACCTTGTAGAAAAAAAAAAAAACCACTAAGATGACACACGTTGAGGTGATACATTCTAATGGTACCAGTATCTGTGGACCAGATCTTTCTCCTAAATTCCAAACAAATTTATTATACACCCACCATCTCTCAGAGATTCCATAATTTTGTAGCAATAATCCTTCATCCTGGCCTCCATCCACATCCACCTAAGGCACTGGGAAAGGCCCAAACTGAGGATTATGCCAGACAGCACCCCAGGCAGCATGGTGGCATGAAAGCACAACATGTTTACCCAGACAAACCTATGTATGATGCTGTCTCTGTCACCTACCATCCTTCTTCCCTCCCTTCCTCCTTTTTTCCTTCTTTCCTTCCTGAAAGAAAAAATAAATCCTGGAACTATATTTTCTCATGGTAAAAATTAAGAAAACTTCCTTCTCTTAACTCCCTTGGGTGTCTAATGAAATTACATATGTAAAGGATGAAATATAGAATATGTCATACAGAATAAAGCAAAGGACAGCTATGCAGTCCATAAGGGTTTAACCTAACAAATAATGTCCACTTTTTAAGAAGCATCCTTATATTTTTCTAATGAATTCCTGAGTACAGATGAGGATGTCCCAGGAGAGTCACAATCCTCCGCTGCTTTTGTGCTCAAACTAAAATGGCTGGCAGTGTATTTGTGGATTCTACAGACAAGTTTCTCCTTTTTGCAGCCCTTGCTGCTGCTGGGCAGGGCCCGGGATGTTAGTGCCCCACAGGATGTGGGTCCGCATTGTTGCGGATGTGGAGCTGGTGCAGAAATACACTGCTGAGTCTCCCAGCTCCGCTGGCTTGATCTTCAGGACCTTGGGTCTCTCTTTGGGAAATTCAGCAGAAAACCGTTCATTTGCCAGGTGTGGTGCACATGACTGTAATCCCAGCACTTGGGAGCCTGAGGCAGGAGGATCGCTGAGTTTGAGATCAGCCTGGGCTACATAGGGAGTTCAGCACCAGCCTGGATTGCATAGTGACACCTGTCTCAGAAAAAAAAAAACAAAACTGAAAAACTTCATTTGGCATTCCTGAGTCATATAGGACTTGTTTTCCCTGGGGATAAACAAGAAATTTCAGTGCTTCCTCCAAGAGGTCCTGATACCAGTAAACATAAAAGTGCCCGTTCTCTGGGCTGCAGCTCAGGATTCCCTCTGGGCCTCTCCTCCTGACCAGGTGTCTTGGAATCTGGGTGAGACCTGCAAGAGAGTGTGCATGAGACACAGCTGTAATTCCAGAAGAATGAGTACCTCACAATCAGGCACCCTCCAGAGTCAGGGGTCTTTGACGTCCCCTGCATTCCATTAAAATTTTACCCGAAAGAAGTGAGCTTAGCATGTGTCTGCAGGGTACAGCATAGAGTAGGGGGTGCTTCAAAATAAGCGTCTTCATTATTATTAGGTTCTGAAATGTACCTGAACACTGATGTTGACCACTTCTTTCTTCATTTTTTCTTGCCTTTTCTTTCTTTACCTTCCTTTCCCTGGCTCATAGCACCTTTCCATTTTCTGGTGGTTTTACTGACCGGAGCTGATATCTAGATGCAGGTGTTGAGAGATAGGGAGGTGAAGACCAACGTTTTACTTTTTACCATGTAACACAATTACTTTTCTTCATGTAAGTGTCAATGGCCTTCAGAAAATCTTTAGGAAGCCTGAAGGCCCAGTAGTTATATTTTTTTGAGACCATTTTAGAGACAGAGACAAAGCCCAGCGATGCTGATCCATTAGCTCAGAGCTCACCCTCACCCAGGAGCCAGGTGACCACACAGCAGAGAAATCTGGTACCCGTGGCAGACATGGCCCTGAAGGTGATATTGGGGGCTGGGCCAGGCAGGGCACTTTCTGTATCAGATCACCAGTGAGACCTCACAGCGTCTTCTTGTGAGACAGGTCTTCCTGTGGGATCACTACTCCCTGTGGCTCCTATCATTTCTATACTTGCACTTGTGTGCCAGTTGGAATGGTCGATCTTTTGTCCTTCACCACACACACAACTGAGCTTAGCGTGTGTCTGCAGGGTACAGCATAGAGTAGGGGGTGCTTCAAAATAAGCGTCTTCATTATTATTAGGTTCTGAAATGTACCTGAACACTGATGTTAACCACTTCTTTCTTCATTTTTTCTTGCCTTTTCTTTCTTTACCTTCCTTTCCCTGGCTCATAGCACCTTTCCATTTTCTGGTGGTTTTACTGACCAGAGCTGATATCTAGATGCAGGTGTTGAGAGACAGGGAGGTGAAGACCAACGTTGCTGGAGAGGAAACTGGAACAAGAAACGGCTCATAATCTTTCCGTTCCCTTCTTTCCCCTCCCATCTCAGAGAAGGTATGGTTCCAATGCTTTTAATGAATTTTATACTAAGTTTTGTGGTTTACTTTTTCATCTTTCATTATTTCTTTTGAATTTTTGGTAGAAGCAGTTCAAAGAACAAGCATGAGAAAAATTATAAATTCTTCTTCTGACATTATGCCCCTTGATGTTTGTACAAAACTGTATTATTGCCTTCAACCATGTATCCTGGTGTTAGAGAGATCCTCCTTCCTTCTATTCTCCGGTTCTTTCTCACCCTTGTAACAATATCTCCTGCTATCTGAGGACAGTAAAGTTGATTCCCTTGTTGTATGACTGTGCCAGCTAACTGGACTCACATAAGAGATATTGCAGCTGTGGGTTGATGTGCTCAGAGTCCTATTGCTAATGGCTGGGATAGTTCGGTCTTTGCTCACCTCCATGCATTTGGAGCTCTCCCCGGGATTTATAACCAGAGTAAGAAAATCTGCTTCACATACTCAAGGTCATGAAGATTTAAACCTATGTTTTTGTTCCATGAGTTTTATATCTTTAACTTTTAGGGATAGGTCTTTGATCCACTTTTTTGTTAATTTTTGTGTGCAGCATAAAATGAAGATGAAGTTTCACTGTGTTAAACAAGGATATCCAGCTTTTCCAGCACTTTGTTGAAAAGACTATTTTTGCCCATTAAATGATTTTGACACTCAACAAATTTTGTCCTGAATTTATGGGTTTACTTTAGGGTTTTCACTTCTCTTATTGCTTGTATCTAGATGTCCCCCCAAAACTCCATGCAGTCATAGGTGGGACTTTCAGAGTTAGCTGGACCTAGAGTGTGTGATACTGGGATCAAGTGTGTGAGGCTGGGGTTAATGGGGCCATACTAGGATAAGGCTGCCTCATTTTGGGTGTGAGTGCTACCCACCCTAAGTGCGATTAGCCTGGATAGAATAGAAAGGACAGAAAGGGGGTGTCTTGGTTACTTTTCTCTCGTTGCTGGGACAAAACACCTGATGCCCAAAATTAAGGAAGGAAAGGTCTATTTTGCTTACAGTTTGTGGAG